TTGGAACCATTGGGTAGTGTAATTGAAATAGGATTAATTGGAGTAAGGGTATTAAAGAGGGAAGAAAGGTGAGTTATATGATCTGTTGCTCCGGTATCTATAACCCACCTAGTGTTGATGTTACCTGATGGAGTGATATTGGAATTTGTAGAATTAAAGGTTGTGGGTTGGATGGCTGCAGCATGAGCAAAAGTTGCATTGGCAGAAGCATTTGCAGAAGAAGTGTGATCAGCATGGACAAGATTGGAGGCATGTGTGTCATTAGGAACACTCATCGAGGATTGAATCATATCCAGAATTCTTTGATACTGCATTTGAGAAAACACTTCAGAGTTATTCTTCAATTCTCTGGTGTCTCCATCATCTGCTTCATGCATTGCCATGTTAGCAGTTCGAATTTGGCTTCTTTGCTTAAAGCCTGGTGGATAACCATGTTTTTCAAAACAGGTTTCCACAGTGTGATTTGTTCTTCCACAGAATGTACACAACTTGCTTCCACGACCTCTACCATTAACATTGGCACGTCCACGACCTCGAAAGAAATTGCCACCACGAGGTACAAATGAATTACTGGATTCAGCACCAGTCATGTAATTTCTAGAGTTACTGGTTCCAACACCAGTTATGAAACTTTGTTGAACTGCAGCATTAGTAAGAACTTTGTATTCTTGATTTAATTCTGAATGAGATTCAGAATTTTGCTGTCTTTCTTGTTGACTAACTAAAGAAAAGATTTCATTTACGGATGGAAGTGGACGCATAAGCATGATTTGAGATCTCACGTTCATGAACTGTTCGTTGAGTCCTCTAAGAAATCTGATAGCTCGATCTTTTTCTCTTCCTTCTCTTACTCGATTTGATAGGCCACATCCACATGGCACAGTACACGTACAGGTTGGGAGAGGTTGTAAGGTTTCAAATTCATCCCATAGTGCTTTAATTTGAGTGTAAAAATCAGAAACAGAACGTTCACCTTGTTGAACACGATAAATCTCCTCTTGAAGATCTGCAATTCTAAAAGCATCTGCCTGTGAGAATCTTTGATAAAGATCATTCCACGCATCTATTGCATTTTCTGTCCACAAGACCGATTGCAGAATGTTTGCACTTATTGAGCGATGGATCCAAGAAAGCACCATCATATTGCATCTTTGCCAAGGATCATACATTGCATCCGTGGAAACAGGGACTGGTATTGTGCCATCAATAAAACACAGTTTATTCTTTGAGCGAAGTGCCATTTTCATTGCACTGGACCATGAATAGTAGTTCTTTCCATCAAGAAGATTGGATACAAGAATCAATGCAGGATTTTCACCTGAATGCAGGAAGTATGCATTTCCTGGATTTGTCAGATAATCAGGAAGAACATTAGCCATGATTCTGACGAGAAGAGAGAGTTTCAAGAAAGTAAAAAATTGGATCAAGAAAAGAAGGTTCAGATGAATACCAGAACTCTATGTCAGAGCTCTGATACCATATTATGAGCGGAAAAGGAGAAACTAATTTTCATTATTCAAGAAGTGATGATTACATTGAAAATCTGATTTATATATCAGATTAGAAAGGTAACAGAATAACAGAAAACTAACTATCTATTAGTTACAACAGAAAATGAGTAATTGAATGACTAATCTAAATAATAACTGATAAATGATAGCTCGGTATATGTTAATAAGTACAAATCATTTTGAGAGTGAGAGAATGGTGCGAATTAGGACCCTGTAGAAGCTCAAATTTAGGGACTTGTTTTGAACTTGATTAATTGCCCGTTTTCATTTGAAAAACTTTCCTTTAATTTAAGACCAATTCAATTATAGTTATTTTCTTATTTTATTCGTGTTAACGTTGATTGATATGATTAGAGTTATCTTGAAAACTAACACACAGTTCCTCTCAAAAGGATCCAAGGTGTCAGCCAGAACCAATTTTTGGAGATCTTCATGCGGAGAAGAAACATAATAAAAGCCACAAGGTATGTTTAGAGCTTCCTTCACATGTTCGTCTGCACATATGTTATTCTCCTTCTAATGAATAGATTCAATCCCCGAATCCTTAATAACCGAAGCCCAAATCCTAATTACCAAAGGTAGTTTTTTAGCACCATTACCTAAAACAATAAGCAAGTTAATAGATTGAAATTAGCCAGTCTCAACTATACCTTTTTTTTATTCATGGAACCAAGCAAATTCCAATTTTCTAAGGATTGTTCACAATTCTGTTTGTAAAGCAGGAGAGCAAAACCCTAAGAAAGAAGAGAAGCCACTAATCCATTCCCCTTTAAATTGACAAATAATTCCAATCTTTTTCTTTTTAGATGAGTTTATTTTTTATTTGTTTGTAATTGAGTTATAATTAAAAATATATATTAATAGGAAGAACAAAAAATAAATTGAATTTCATTGAATTAATGAAATATGAAGATATTCTTGGCTATTTGACCATTTTACCCCTCATTAATTAATTAATAATCATTTTGCCTCTGATTCGAAACTATCTACCAATCTGTCCCTCTTTAATCGACCACCTTGCATTTTTAATCGACTAAATGGTTGTTGGGAGATTTAATCGACTAAATCTCCCTACTTAATCGATTAAAAAATCATACTTACTTGTTTTCCTTTGTTGTCTGTTGGGAGATTTAGTCGATTAAATCTCCCAACAGCCATTTTTGCCTGTTTTGGCCATTTAGTCGATTAAAAATTCAAGGTAGTCGATTAAAGAGGGACAGATTGATAGATAATTTCGAATCAGGGACAAAATAGTTATTAATTAATTAATAAGGGACAAAAAAGTGAAAAAGCCAGATATTCTTAGTTAAATTAAGTTTACGTTGTTAGCTATTCGTAAACTAAGGTTTTATCAATCAAATTGTCAATTTAATTGGGGGTATCTCATCTAAATCTGGGATTTGAGAAATTTCAATGAACCTGACTTAAATAATTCAATTTGTGCAAATTCACACGTCTTTCTTGGAAGAATTTAAAGAGTTTTTCTTCTTAATTATCTAAAGTTAAAAAATAACAAAATTATTACTAACTTTTTTTTTACCTCTTTTATTTATATATTCAGAAAAAAATACATATTATCATTAAATTAACCTCGTCAGTTCATAAGTATCTGAAATTATAAATCAAATATAAAATCATTACAATAATACATGCATACATATGAATTATGTACTCTTCTACCGCATAATATGAGGCATGCAAGGCTCTAGCAAAATAATTTTAAAGTTTTAATATTTTTTAAACACATTCACCTCTTAAGTTTTAACTTTGAAGTCATTGCAAATAGTAATAATAAATTATCATTTTTTTATTTTTATTTTTTTGAGTAACTAAAAAAATAAGTTTTTTCTAATATAATATTCTATTCTGGAAGGCCCCAACCGGTTGGCCCATTAAGGCAGGCTCAATCCCTCTCCACTAATCCACGTCAGCCCTACTGATCACAGCTTACCAACCTTGCCCCCTTCTTGTTCCCATTTGATAAATTCTCTAAGGTAAGACACCAAAATATCCTACGTCGGGATGCTACATTCCTTTGATAGCCCTTCCAGATCCCCTAAATAGATGTTTTCACTTCACAGCGACTTGCCACCAGCAATGTCAAACGCCCTTGGCAATTCCTAAGGAAAGTTGACCTAGCTCGTCCTGTCATGCGAGCAAGGCATCCCTTCCCCCTATAAATATCCCCTCCATCACCAAGCAATGAGATCCGATCTCTATGTGTCGTTACCCTACTCAATTTCATGAGCCTCTACTGCAACTCATTACAACACCCCCCCCCCCCCCTCACTTTTATTGTTGAATATCATACTTGGGATGTCATTGTCTAGCTTGATCTCTACCTTTGTTAGTAGCGATACCCCTATAATGACCTTTACCCCTCTCTAGGGTATATATTAGACTTGCAGCTCTCAATGGTACACATTTCATCTGTGTACCATTAAATATTCAACAGAAGAAATAATCACATGACTCATTATTTTTGAAAACATCATTAACATGAATTAATCTCTGGCACTGAATTAAATAAGGGTTAATCTTTTCTCATGTTACATAAGAAAAGATTAATCTCCTACACACACAAAGTAGAGGAGAGAGAAAAAAAGTATAGAGTGGGCTCCACCTTTGATTTGTGTGTGTAGGAGAAAAGTATTTTTTCATGTAACATGAGAAAATATTAACCCATTAAATAAATATTGTATTCTTTAAATTATTTTATAAATCACCACATGCAATTATATTTGAATCATGCCATAAACTTTGGTTACTTTAAGGTATACCTGTGCTCGTAGTTTTTTTAAGTGTTTGCTTTTAGCAACATTTTGTTAGAATATTGAAGTCCCAATAGATGTAATTCAGTTAGCAATGCACACCGACTATGTGAGGATGTAATTAAGTCCGAATATGTTAGAACATTGAAGTCCTACCAAATACATTTTTAGAAAGAGAGAAGAACTTTAATTATGATTAAACCTCGACTCGAAATTAGTCACATAATCAAAGAGTTAAAGCTTATGAGCCAGGCTAAAGCTTTATCCAAAAAAAAAAGATTTTGTCCATGTTTTAGCCCGTACCAAGCCCATGTTTTACAGTAAAATCAATGAAGTAAACTCTCCCATATTATCTTGCCTGCAATGTCTTCTAAATTTTTTGAAAAGCAGCCAGTCCCTTGGCACCAGCCGAAGGCAACATGGCTCCGTCACTACTTACGGGGATATCCGAGGAGCCGACTCGCCTCGAACAAGTAATTAAATTTGATACACCAAAAAAAAAGTATGGATCATATATCATATTTTAATGCAGCAGCAACCATGAATACTGAAAACTCATGAGACATCCCAAGTAAAGTTGAGCAAAAGGTTCACGTGAGCTCAAACCACACTTCTTAAAAGTAGCTGGCCAACCAATTTTATTCAGCCACATCAAATCTTGAAAAGATTATCGTTTGAATTTTCATAAGTTTCGCTAATGAATTTTTTTGTTTTTTATACCAGCCACTTCTAATCTGCGGCAAAGGATTTGCTTTCACAATTCTTACTCCTGCACCTGAAGTATGTTTTAATAGAAAGACAATTTCACTACCTAGTTACTACTTACTCAGGACTACTTTGGCCACTTTGTCGTCTCTTTTCTCTGCAAGTCTCTCCCCACTGCTTGGCCTCTGCAACAGCTTTCTCTCTTTGTGAGTCTTCAGCCAAAATCAAAGATTTTCCTTTTGGGGAGTCACTACTCTTGCCCACATCTTCTGTGTTAACTGTGTTGGGTACTTTTGGGGTGTATTCCTTGGATGACAAGTAATTTAGAGCATGCACTAGATCACCTGCGTCCGGCCGGTGACGTTGCTCTTCTCGGAGACAAATGCTTGCCAATTCAACGGCCATCCTTAGACCAGATGCCGGATAGCGATCTTGCAACTGCGGATCTACCAATCTTGGAAACTGCCTTTTGTCTCTGAACATTGGGCGTGCCTATAAAGACATTAGGAAACCAAGCTCAGTTAACCTTAATACATTATGTATTCTCAATTTATGGTTACTAGAAGAATGATGAGTTTAGATTATCTCCTCAAGATTAAGACTTTGGATAAGATCTAACCTAATTTAGATCAAGGATTAACGTTTCTTATATTGTAGGAGATAAAATTATCTCTTACTTATACATAAAAATATGTAGGGCCTATATTTTCTTTCTTTCTCTCTTCTTTTCACATGTAGGCTCCACACACTTTTATATTTGTGTAAGAGATGAAATTATCTCCTACAACATGAGAAACATTAATCCCTCATATCATGTAATATTTTGAAACTTATGTTAGATAATGTTAACCTTTAAGCTGCAACAACTTCCTAATGCATGATATGGTTACTTGAAGAATGATGAGTTTAGATTATCTCCTCCAGATTAAGTATTTGGATAACATTTAACCTAATTTAGATCATATAATTTTGAAACTTATGTTAGATCATGGCAACAGAATAAGCAATGCAACAATATTCCCTGCATATTATGCAGCAAGCTGAAAAAGTAAACATTAGCTAATTATAAGTCTATAATAATTCCTCTGCACATTCATACATTAACAACTTAATAACCTAGTTTCTCCCCCTTTCAAGTGCACAATGATAAATTTACAATAAAACAAAAGTGATACCGGAGAGAATATGCATAAAGTTGTTGCAGCAAATCTGATATGTTTACAATAATATATGTTATTCAACTGAGAAAAAGAGTAATATGGATGTAAATTAACCCTGGGAGAATAAAGGGGGAAAAAATATAAGTAATTACCCAGTCAACAAGATGCTTTTCACGGTCACGGGTATCATCATAAGCATAACGTCCAGTAATTAGCTCCAATAGCAGAACCCCAAAACTGTAAATGTCAGATTTCATTGTTAATTTCCCACTAGTGGCATACTCAGGGGCACAATAACCATGTGTTCCCATGACCCTAGTGGAAACATAGGATTGGTCTTCAGATGGACCAAATTTTGCAAGCCCAAAATCAGAAAGTTTTGGGTGAAAGTCTTCATCTAATAATATGTTGGATGGTTTCAGATCCCTGTATATAACAGAAGGCGTTACTTCATGATGCAGATAATTTAGTCCTTTTGATGCCCCAGCAGCTATCTTCATTCTAGTATTCCAATCAAGCGGTTCTTTATCAGGTGCAAGTTCTGCAAATAACCGTAATCAAATCATCACTACTACAATATAATAAGTGGAGTAACAAGTAAGTAAATGATGACAGTTTGATGTTAAAGAACTAAATGTTGCGTTATAGTATATTACCATGAAGATGAGACTCTAAGGATCCGTTAGGCATGTATTCATACACAAGAAGACGTTGATCCCCCTCAGCACAGTAACCAACCAAATTAACAAGGTTGGGATGGCGTAGAAGACAGAGCATTAGAACTTCTATTAGGAATTCTTTCTCCCCTTGGAGCCCAGTAGTATCAAGTCTTTTAATAGCTACATCCTGATCAAATTTTCCAAAACTTGGTAAAAGATTTATATTGCACATCAATGTAACAGACTAATGGGGCATTGTAAACAAGACATGGGAACAAAAAACACCATCCCACGATAAAAGTATACCTGATCAATGTTCTCTATCTTCCCTTTGTAAACACTCCCAAAACCACCTTGCCCAATAAAGGTTTCATCCCTAAAATTTTTTGTTGCCGTTGCAAGCTCTCGGAAGGTAAATATCTTAGCCTTACTAGAACTGCCAGTCTCCTCTGTTTGAGTTGCTTCTGATCCCAGTCCTGTGTCAAACCATGTCATTTCAACTTGAGTGCACAAGTTCAGAGCACTTAAATTCAATCAAGCTTGTGATCTTCTCAATGATACAAACACTAATCTAATTAGATCTGCTCTTCATAAACAAACTTGGGATTTGTGCTCTCAGGTAAGATCAGTTCAGGATCATGGGATCCTTTTCTATTAGATAGGAAGAGCTGTTTCACAAAATGTACTTCTAAATAATTGCTCTATAGATCCTATATCTATCTATACGAAGAAGAAATCCTGTATCGAGGGGGATTCTTATTTGTACAAGTGATACTTCAAACTTGGAACGAGCATGAATAAATTAACAATACTTCTTTATCTTTTGAGTTGTTCTGCGGATCGGTCGCTCAAGACCAAGCCATAAGACATGGTTTAAAAGGGTCATCAAAAAACCAATAACGATTAAATGACAATCCACTTTTTAAACTAAAACTTTTGTAGATAAAAGAAGAATTCATAAAAAAGAAAAGGAGAAAACATCCTTCTAAAACAAGCTAAAAATCAAGAGAGATATTCAGTATTAGAGTAAACATCAGTTCATAGGAGCTTCCAATCCCTCAGCATATATATGGTTTGGGAATCTACGTCTATATTTATAGTTTACTACGCGTTCTAAGTTGATAATACAACTTTTGTTTCCTATTATCTCAAGCATTCTGGAGTCAACAATATTTTCTGAGTAACCAAAAGATCAATACAATCAATGGCTTACATCAGTCCAAAACCAAACATTCAGCAAGCAGGTATTGAGGATTATGTGTGCTTCACTTAATATTAATTGTAAATTACAGTTTCCATCCCTTATTTTACATTGTTCTTTACTCTGTCTAATAGCATGTGTTACTGGGTTGGATAATGTTGAAAACTGTCAGGTGTGGACAAACTATGAGACACATTTTTACTAACAGGAAAGTCAAAGCATTTGGTTACTCTATAAGAAGACAGGACAGTTTTGAAAGAGACCCTTTGTCTAGTACGGATAGTGAAAGATGAGCAGGTAAATTCAGCAACTCAAAAAATAAAAAATAAAATAAAAATGGAATTTTTGAAACTGGTATGAGCATAAAAATGAGTTACACCACTATATTGCTGCATCTAAAGTCTAAGCATGCTATTACTCCTTCAGTGAAAAGGTAACTCACTGTATGTGCTATATGAAGGATAGATGACTGATATTCTAAATCCATGGAAGTTGTTGAAAGTTGAAACTATTATTGGGTAATTTGGACTAATTATATATGTCGTGTCCACATATCTAGGTGACACGTTTTGCAAGCAAAATATTAGCTTCATGTAAAAATGGAAATCTCTAGTTAGCACTAAGTAGACACACAGAAAAAATAGAACATTTAGTCTTTAAATTTGAAATTTCTATTAGATTTTTTTGAATGTCTGTATGTCAGTGCGGGGGTTGAAAATATGTTGAAGAATTAGTGGAGCTATCCTTTAGCTTATAACAAGCATTATATACAATTTACACTACTCTCTATCAAACCTCGACTAAAAGGATACATGTGAGGGCAAACTTTATATGCAGTCTCACCCTTACATGTTTGCAAAGAAACTGTTTTTCAGATTTGAAACCATTCAGTCACAAAATATAAAATGCAATAAGATAAAGCAATGATAAACCCAATAGATGAGATTTGAGCAACTGATGAGTTTCCACGTGAAGCAGGGGAACATGAAAGAAATTAAGATGACAAATAGTGTCCTTCAGAGTTGACAAAAAGCATATACTCAGCACGTGGATTTTGGTTTTCTGATCTCACAGTCACACCAATATTTCCTCTTGGAAAAGGTGGAGGTGCAGTCTAGACCTAAATTTTATTGGTAGAGAAGGAAGGAGATTCTGATAATCAGGAGAAGCAAATATGAGCTCAATCACCACACAAGTGCATCTGTGACCTGTATCTATGACACTAGGGCCAATGAAAAAAATTAATAAATTCAAAAGGAGGACTATTCCTTCTGCTATGGTGTGAGTTTCTAAGGCTGTCTTCAAAAACAAGGGAGATGAGCTCTTTTACTTGGAGATTTTGTAACCTACAGTTACAATATTAAATTGTTTTCAGATGAAGCATAACCTTTAAAAATGTGCAGGAGGTTCTATACACTAAAGGCAGACATGATATTCTTTTGATGCAGGATAGTTAGCATTGGTGCTTCTTTTATCAGTTTAATCACGTTAGAATGGAGCACACAGAATTACTATTTGGTATAGTTTCCAATCATGCAGAACAGGGCAAGTTGAACAGTCAGTGTGTATTAGATTAGATTTTGTGTTCAAAACAATTTATAATCAAAAGCTTTGTTAGATAGCTTTTGCAAAAAATGAAATACTATTTCCCTAAACAAGTTCTTGGTATGCAAGACTCACCTCCCCAAAGGCCAAAAGGATAAAGCCATAAAGGTGTAGAAAAGAAGAAGGTATATCATATAAAATAGAGGCTCAAAGGCTAGTGACAATTGATTTGCAGAGACAGTTAGAAAATTGCTACCCCTAAGTTTTTTTTTTTTTGTCTTTACATTTATGCTTGTGCTTCCCTAAGATTAAAGTGAAAAGGGTACAGTACCTCAAATTAAGGCCTTTAAGTGGGATAAATTTGGAGTGTTTCTTTAATTTCTTTTTATATTCTGTTTATTATTTTTGCAAGGTGTATGCTTTATCTGGACTCAAAATAAAAAATGACCCTAAGATAAAACCCAGACCTTTTTCCTTTTCCTTTTTTCTAAGCAAGTTATAAGAATTATATGCAAGAATCAGTAGAAACGTTACGAATCACTCTAACAAAGTCTAAAGACAATTTGTCTTAAATCTTGGAAACAAACATGATAAAAAAGATGATCGAGAAAGACTCCAAATTAAAAAAAAATGGCAGAAAACATAAATCATATAAATTACAATTCAAACAAGGTTTAATCTTCAAAAAGACAAAAAACTCAATGAGCAGAAATGAATTGTGACAAGGGGTAACCTGAAGAACTCTCAGAGACAGTCTCTACAGAGTTACGGTTCCTCCCAACATTGTTTCCTTCCTCCTCCCGAGGCTTGAGGTTCTTATCCTTGGCCTTCTTCTTCGACCCAAAACACGGGAAACGACCCATTAGCCCCTATCTGAATTCAGAACCAAAAACAAGCCCTTTCTTGTGTTGTTATGCAGCAATGCCAACAATTACGTGAAAAGATAGAAAGAAGGATAAAAAAACAACAAAAAAATGGAGGCTTTTTAATCCCTTGAAGAATGAATATGCCCGTTTCAAAATAACAACGCTGAATGCGTACACGGATCTCAACAGATTTCCCCCCGCATCTATCTAATCTTGATAAACCCGTTAAAATCTTGAAGTTATTCAAATTTCCCTCGTAATGATGTAAAACTCTTGCTATTATATATATGGTTTTCATATGTGTCGTATGTTTTGGATTATCTGGTTTCTCGCCAAATTGGAGGAACTATATATGCAGATAATAATAACGTGATTCTCTTATAAATGGCTAATCCCTGTCTCATTCATACCCCGATTTGAATTCTAAGATTTTTTTATTTTTTTCCTTCCCTTAACACGAAAATTTCTGGCACTTATATGGTAACAGTTTCTAAAATGATGTGCATGCCCATTTGCTTTCTCTCAACCCTGTTATGCCTCAATTGTCCCTGGAGCAACATGTTGCTGTTTGATTGCTGAATTTAAGGTTGGAGGTTGGTGACTGACGTATACGAGCTTATTAGTTATTAGTTTATAATATGCGAAATATAAGAATCATAAGAATCATGTTGCAGAAATGACATTGTTCATTCTTGCAATAAGGATCCGGCAACGTATCTTGAGGATACGGCGTCGTATCCTGATTTTGATTTGACTTTTTTTTTTTTAAACGTGGGACCCACACTTGATTTGTGTGTGCAGGAAAATGGTCTTGTCATGTGACATGACAAAAAGCGAACCCTTATAATATACGATTATATATATATATATGAGGTAGGATCCTTTGACACTGATGTCAAATTTGAAGTTTGACACCTCATCTGAGAGCCGTTAGATAAAAAAAAATCAATGACTCTGATTTGTAAGCATATGACACCATTGATCTTTTTTGATCTAACGACTCTCAAATGAGGTGTCAAAGGATCCAACCTCATATATATATATATATATATATATATATATATATATATATATATATATATATATATATATATAGGTAGGATCCTTTGACACCAGTGTCAAATTTAAAATTTGACACCTTATTTAAGAGCCATTATATCAAAAAAGATCAACGACTCTGATTTGTAAGCATGTGACATCATTGATCTTTTTTGATCTAATGGCTCTCAGATGAGGTGTCAAATTTTAAATTTGACACCAGTGTCAAAGGATCCTACCTCATATATATATATATATATATATATATATATATATATATATATATATGATGACTATATATCCAAAATTTGAACTCGAGACTACTGATTAAGTTTGAATAACTCAATATCAATTGATCCACATGTTTATTGGTTCTTATACTTAATCTTAATCATTGATTAGTTCGCTATACCTAATCTTAATCATTGATTCTAGGGGTATAAATGAGACAGATCAAATTAGTCTTTAACCTAAATGAACTAGGCCTTGGGTGGTTCGTATACCTAATCTTAATCTTAATTATTGGTTCTTATACCTAATTTTAACCCTTGATTGGTTCATATATCTAATCTTAATCCTAATCTTATGTAAATCATTCCATGCATGATTTGACTTGTTTAGCTGATATAAGTAAAAGGGGCAGGTTATATTTACAAACTTTTTTGTTTACAAACTACACTAAGTACGACTGGTCATACTTTAATCATGCAGTGTACGACCGGTCGTACTTAGTGTAATTTGCAAAAAAAAATTGTAAACGGATCATATCCCTAAGTAAAATTATAAGCTTGGCCTGACTTATTTCTAAAAATTACAAAACTTGGTCTGGCCTATCAACACTTCAAAAATAATATATTGCACTTTATAATTAGAGACTATGATTACTTTGTAGAATAGCTGAAACCACCCCAAAAAATATTGATAATTTAACTATGTGATTGAAAATAAAAAACAAAATCGAATCAAATTGTATTGATTTTTAATTATAAAATTAAATTTAAAATAAATTAAAATTTTGTAAAAGCAAGCACGCACGCACGTGCATACACATACATATATGTATATAAAAATAAGTACAAAAGTATTTATTTTAGGGATTTATTAATCTCATGTTGTATGAGATAATTATCTCATGCGACAGAGATAAAATTGTGGGGTCCACTACTTTTTCAAAAAAAGAAAAAAAGAAAAAATAGTGGATCTCACTACTTTGTCTCTGTTGCTTGATATAATTATCTCATGTAACATGAGATAATTATTCCCCTTTATTTTAAAACTATACGACCATAATATTTAAACATAAAAGAAGCAAACATCAAACAAGTAAAAGTCAGTCAAATTAGACTAAAAAAATTAAATATATTTGGAAGTCAATTTTTAAAGGGAAAAATGTTTCTGCAGTTAATGCAGATAAGTTATCTGCATTTATTTCCAAAACGAAGTCGTTTTGGTGTTGAAATCTTAAAAAATTATAAATATAAAGACTATTATAACCCTGAAATAAATTAAAATTACAAAAATATCATGATTTTTGCCCCAAAACGACGTCGTATTGGGCTTTCTGCAGATAACTTATCTGCAGTAATTGCAAAAAAAGCGAATCCATTTTTAAAATGACAAGTATGTTACAATTCAAAATTTGCGTAAACAAATCATACAAGTAGAACATCAATAATGCAACTCAGATCCGAAGATCTCGACCAACCAACCAACCAACTTATATGAGAATTTTTCAATAAAAAATAATTAAATAAATAAAGAGAGAGAGAAATTAATAAAACACAAACATAGATAGGTAAATCATACAACACTAACAAGTCAAATAATATGTTAACTTTTTGTATAAAAAGAGGCAGAACTTGTCAATGGGACGGAAAAAAAAGCAAAAAAAAAATATGAAGAATGAGGATTTACTAATATACATTAAATAACTTATTTAAGAATATCCCAACAAAAAATAATTAAAAAAAAAAAAAATGATCGGACCAGATACGGTAGGGATGGCCCAATGCGTATCAAGCCCAAATCACGCACGGTTGAGACTCCTTAGATGGTTACTGGCCTGGGCCTGGTACTGTTGATGTGGGATGAGCCTGAGCTCTTTGTCCTTCGTCCTTCACGTTGCACCGGATGGGGGGTACCTGCGAAGACACTCCGACGCTCAAGTCAGTATCAGAGGCAGGTGTTTATGTTGTGAAAGTAAATGATGCTCATACCTTGGTGGCACAACGTATGTTTATATAGTAATCGAGATGTGTGTTTGGAGGAGACCTTTCTTCATGGTGAAGGCAAAGGTTCCTTGGTGCCAACGCAGTGTGGCTGTCATGGTTTAAATGTTGAGGAGCTTGCTGCCATGGTGTCTATTAGTAGAGTTGTGGCGAGCTGGAGCTGTCCATTGCTTACTGGTGTGAAGGCGCGGTGGTGTTGCCTTGGCCCTTAAGTTTACTGTCTGTAGAAGGTATGCCGTTGCGTGGGGAGTAAGTATATCCTGCTTGCTGTGATGAGGCATTACGCCGTGTATGACGCGATGGGACTATCGCGCCTGGTGTTCCGCGATATGGACATCGCGCTGGTGTGACGCGATAGGGTTATCGCGTCCCGTGCCTGTCTTTTATGCCTTGTTCTAGGTCCTTTATGGGCTTGGGCTTCCATGTGTTTATTGGGCCCTGGTTAGGCCTATATTATATCCGGATCAAAAAATAAATCACACACATAAACACATACCCAACAAACTAAGAACAAGATATATAGATGCATACAATACCCATAAGTTAAATAATATAATTTTTTTAATAAAGTTTTTGTAAAGAGGCAATCTTATTAATGGGAAAAAAATACAAAGAATAAGAACATACTATCTGTTGCGAAAGTTTTGAGAGTCAATGGTGAGTCGAATGATTTGGAAGGAATGAGAAGTTGAGAACGGGCAGAAGAGTAGCAAAATTTGGTGGGGGAGGGGAGAGCGATGACAGCAAAGGAATTTAGGGTAAAGAACCAATTCAACGTAAAATCTTAAGATGTTGGGTGATGTTATATTAGAGGTGGCAAAACGAGCCAGCCCGCCTCAACCTGCCTTCAACCAGCCAAAAATGGGGCGGGGCGGGTTGACCCGCCGTTTGATGGTGGGTTTAAAACATCAACCCACCCCATTTTGAGGTGGGTTGGCGGGTCAACCCACAAAAAAAAAAAATTAAATAAAAATAATAAATTATATTTTACTAATTTTATAATATTTCTTATTTTTATTTCACACTCCCCTTAATTTTTTTTCAATCTCAAGCTTAAATATAAGCTAATATTCAGTCAGATATTTTTTAAGAACTTATTTTTGCCTTTATATATGGATAATCTTTGTCATAAATAAAGTTTTTCATCTTTATTTTCTAAGGGAGTACTAAAATAAAAAAATATATATATCACAAAAGCTTAGTGACAAATGAAATACTACCTAATAGGAAAAAAAAATGACCTACGGGCCAACCCGCCCCGATCCGCCACCAACCCATTTTGACCCACAACTAAACGGGACGGGTTGAGGTGGGTTGGTGGGTTGAAAGGTATAGCCCAACCCGCCCCGTCTTGGCGGGTTGGCTGGTTGATCCGTCGGGTTCAACCCATATTGCCACCTCTATGTTATATTAATGAGTTTATATTTCTCCCTCGCACGAGAGGTCATTGAGCTTGAAGGGTGGATAATGTATCAGGCTCAGCCTAGAAGTGATAAGAAACTCCATAATATTTTAATTTTTTATTGATAAAATGAGGGCAGTGAGGATCGAACTCGTGATCACTTAGTCACGCCCGCTCTAATATCGTATTGTAATATGAAAAAGGGTTTTATAAATTGATACAATTTGATTTATACTGATAGGGAATATTTAGGGTCCGTTTGGATGAGCTTTTAAAGAAATGACTTTTTATGCACTGTTTTTTTTAAAAGAACTTTTTCTAAAAGATAA